AATAAATAAATAAATAAATAAATAAATAAATAAATGAGTTTAACATCTTGGGTAGCTCTTTTAAATCCTAAAGCAAATTCTGTAGCATCCTGCTGGTGCTGCTGGACCTCTCAGCGGCCTTTGATACAATAGATCACGACATCCTCTTGGATCGCCTGAGAAGGTTAGGAATTGGAGGCACTGCATTGCGATGGTTCCGCTCCTTCCTCTCGGGCGGATTCCAGAGGATGATGCTCGGGGACAGTCACTCTGAAAGGAAAGAGCTTAATATATAGGAAGCCATTAGAAGAGATCATCCTGAGACATCAGGTGGGGTGTTATCAGTACGCTGATGATACCCATATATATTTCTCCATGTCTCGGTCCTCAGCTTTCACTTCAGATGGTGTCTCTCTTCTCAATGACTGTCTTAAGGCAGTAATGGACTGGATGAGGAAAAACAGATTGAGACTGAATCCAGACCAAATGGAGATACTTACAGTAGCGTCCCTGAACCCAGGTATTGGGTTGCAACCTCCAGTCCTGGATGGGGTCACACTCTCCTGTGTTTGCAGTCTGGGGGTGCTCCTGGACCCATTGCTTCAGATGATAAATCAGGTAAATGCGATGGTCAGGAGTGCTTGTTATCAGCTTCGGCTGATACACCAGCTGCGCCCTTTCTTGGAAGTCAGGAACCGTGAAACTGTGGTGCATGCTTTGGTAACTTCTTGTCTTGATTTCTGTAATGCATTCTTCATGGGGCTACCCTTGTACATGGTCCAGAAACTTCAACTAGTACAGAATATGGCAGCCAGGTTGGTCTCAGGAACAACTAGAAGAGACCATATAACACCGATCCTGAGATCACTTCACTGGCTGCCCATTCGTTTCCAGGCCCAATACAAGGTGTTGGTTATCACCTTTAAAGCCCTAAATGGCTTGGGTCCAACCTATCTTTGGAATCACCTCCTCCCATATAATCCACCTCGTGCACTTAAGTCCTCTGGGAGGAATTCGTTGCAGCCAATAAAAACTAGATTGTCCGCAGCCGCCCACTACCACTTCCAGATTATGGAATGGCCTGCCAGATGAGATCCATCATATTACCACCTTAGACAGCTTTTAAAAGGCTGTTAAGGTGGATCTCTTCCAGCAGGCCTTTCCCAAATAAATATCCCGACCATCAAAAGACAGCCATTCTGCTCATCCCTGATTCGGCTGTAGCTATTGTTATTTGTTTCTTTGTTTTTGTGTTACTATTTTAAATGTGTTTTAAATTGTCATTATTTAATTGTATTTTAAGGGGAGGCAGGATTGTAGGATATGGATGTATATTTTAAAGTTGTAAGCCAACCCAGGTGCGTTACACAGAGGGGCAGGATAATAATAATAATAATAATAATAATAATAATAATAATAATAATAATAATAATAATAATAATGGGAAGAGTTAAGATATGGCTGTCATATATATTGATAGTGCAGCAAGGAAACAGTTAATAGAGACTATAATAACTATTTTGTAAGAAAAGCATTTTTAAAGATCTGGAAGATAAATAAAGATGTTCCCCTAAAGTACCATTGTGGATTTCACCACATAAAGCATTTTATAAGAGAGAAAACATTTTAAATGATACTTGGATTATTCATAGTGATATGCTTATCTTCAGAGAAAAACCATCCAAAATTAAAAACACAAGAAGAGATAAATATGGAGGGAATTACATGCCATTGGCTGTTGTATAGGCAACTGGGAGAGAAAATTAAGATAGAGATAAAATTACATGGCACAGAGGGGGGAAATGCCAGATTTAGAAAAAGTGCTCATTACAGAAAATCAAAAGATTTTATTGAAAATGTATACAATACTCTTAAGATGCAATAATGATATAGTAAAAGAATTGATGATTAAACATGTACAAGCAAATTGATATGTAAATGTACAAGCAAGTTGATAATAAATGTTGGAAGTGCATAGTAGCTTTGGGAACTTTTTACTGTTTATGTAACCTACTCTGCACTTCTTGTGAAGGCAAGAAAATTTTGGAACTCTATACACCAAATAATTGAGAAAGTACTTAATATAAAAACCCAGATGATGCCTGAAATGTACCTGTTAGGAATAAATGGGGATGGAACTGATAAAAAAAAATGGAAATAATTATATTTTATATGACAAGGGTTGCTAGGATTATATATGCTTAAAATATATATGGAAGAGTAGTATAATACCAACAACTAATTATTGGATTCTGAAATTAATAGACGTGGCTGAATTACACAAATTCATGTGTTTTTTTTGGAAGAGGAAAAGTTTAGTTCAATCTGTAAATAATTGGGAATATGTTTTGAGATATATAAATAATATTTGGGATAAGCTTGCTACGGTTGGCTTTATAGACAAAGGCATATAAAAGTCTTTAAATTAAATAAATCAAGTTAAAACTATGCCAAGAGGCAGTACAACTGCTAGGTTGAAAGTCAAGGTTCTGAAAAAGAAAACTGAAAATGTAATACAAATGTAAGTGATTGAGATTTACTTATGTATTACTTTATGTGTTTGGAAATAAAAAAAGAAAGATAGTAAAACCAGCACAATACAGTTTAAAAATGCAACACAAAAGTTAAAACACAATTAAGTTTCTTTTTTAAAATCCACAAATTAAAACATGATTAAAAGATGTTTAAAAACATAAGAAAAATTAAAAACACTACTTTTTCCCAACCCTGAGTAGATTCACCACACTATTAACATGGAAGAAAACTGCTGCCACTGATTAAATCAATTAAAAATTCCTTTCCTTTCCATATACGACCACTTGCCATCAATATTTGTGGCCTTCACTTGTCACCCATGTTATAAACTTGTTAGGATTGTCAGTTTGCAGTTTAAGCCACCTATAGTCACTTTGTGTACATTTTATAGCTTAGAAAAAATTCCTTTATGGACACCAACTCCTAAAATTTCTCAGTTGGCACAGTCATAAGGACATAGACTATAAATAAAAACATAACCTTTTGCTGCTCTCCTCCATTTCTCTGCTAAAGGAAGGCTGTCAGGGAGCATGGAAAGCTAATGTATATGGAGTAGCCAACAACCTCCGCTTGCTGAGATTATTTCATCAGGAGGAAGAAGACACCATGTTGCACAATATGACAGACTGGCAGAGGCATAATTTCCAGAGGGGAATCAAGATTCAGTCAGCTATAACAAAGGCAACATCTGTGCCTGGCCTTAAAAGGATACCTGTGCATGAAAAATCCTGCTGAAGAATAGTTAGTTAGGCAGCAAGCCATACATTTCAACATTTCTGCAAGGATTTGGGTAAAACAGGGCAAGTGGGACATAAAGTTTCAGAGACTGCTACCTCACATTAGAGACCTCAGGTGTTGAAAACCTATTATCCTTGCCCAAATTAAGGGGAAACACAAAATGTACTCCTTTGCTGTTGGTTTGATGGATTTGCTTTTCTCTCCGTGGGTTACAACACAGACGAAAACAGAACCCTCCCTGGAAGCAAACATAATATTAAAACAGAACCAAAAAGCAAACATAATATTAAAAAGTAATTAAACTATCACATTAAAACAGTGAAGTTTGACACCACTTTAACTATCATAGCTCAATGCTATGGACTCCTGAGATCTCTGACAGAGAAGGATAAATATCTCAGAAAACTACAAATCTCAGAAACCTATGGCATTGAGCCATGGCCGTTAAAGCAGTGTCAAATGGCAATCTTTCTGCAGTGCAAATGCAACCCAGATTAACAGTATACTTAAAAATTTTGAAAACACAGCAGATTGGGCTCTTTGCATGTTGGAAGAAGGAGAGCAGACAGGGCCCCAATTTTGCCTTCCATGGGAGAGATTTCAACAGCAAGACAGTAGTTATGGAGAAAGACCTCTACTTTGTCCTCACCAAATGTATCTGGGGTTACAGTGGAACTGAGAGAAAGCCTTCCCATAATGAACTCAAAATCTAGGCTGGTTTATGTGGGGAGATAAGATCTTTCAGATCAGTGCTATACGGAGTAGTGATCCATGGCCCTGGTCCTGGACAAGTTTCCAAGAAAAGAAACAGTTACGAGTAATGGGGACAAAATATGATTCCTGGCATTTGTGGAAATAATACCGGTTCTTGTAGTGACTTGGCCTCTGCCAACAGATGGGTTTAGAATACTTGTTAGGACGATGGCCAAATGTTAAAAACTGTCCAGTAGTAAAGAAAAGGATAATTTTTC